GCTCCCTTTCTTCCAAACATAAAATAATATGCTCCCCCCTATTCCCTGCTTCCGTACATAAAACAATATACCCCGCCGCGGACACAAAAATAGAACAATAGGATTTTTGTACTCACCGTAAAATCCTTTTCTCTCCGTTCATTGAAGGACACAGGCAACAGATCGTAGATCCTGAATGGTAGGGTAATATCGCCACCTGCAGGAGAAGGACGCTAGGCACAAAACACCCTCTCACCTGCTTACGTTTCTGCATGGAGGAGGCCCATAATTCCCTGGTGATCTGGTGGTGATTAGTAAGGTCGGAGCTCAGAAATCTGGTCAAAAGGAAATGAGCAGCTATGCAGTCTGCATCTGACAGAGATCCAGACCGTGCAGCTGCTCATGCAAGTCAAGTACACCGTCCGTGACTGTGTACCTGAGTTGTCAACTGGCCAGGGGCCACATAGTACAGGTACCCTGTTCTAGATATGTTTTTTTCCACCATTAAAGCATGTCTAAACTCAAAAACAAAAATGTAACATCATTGCAGCCTACCAGCTCTTAGACTTGGTGGCTGCATTTTTTTTAGGCGTTTATTACTTTATTTTTCCCTGGTGATCCAGCCAGTAAAACACATTCTTGTCCTAGAATGGCTCCACTCTATGGAGGAGCAATGGAACCACCCTTGTACAACAGCGCTGTCACCCTGTGGGAAGGGTAGTGTTAAAAGGACTAGACTAACAAATAAAAACTCTTTAAGCAGTTACAGCAACTTTTTTTTCCCCCCTTTTGGCAAAAGGTATTTCACAAATGAATAGAAGCTGACCATTGTGATCATCACTGTTAAGTGTCAAAAAGTTTTCCTCAACCCTCTATCTGCCCCTTTGTCCGGACAGCTTGGTCTGTCAAAGCAAGCTGAAAAATAACACATTACTGGTTGGATCACCAAGTTAAAAAAAAAAAGCCTGAAGAATGAAAGCAGCCACACCACAGCTAAGAATCGAGGAGCTGGGAAATATACAATGTTTGGGTTTTAGGTTTAGATACACTTTATTATTACTCCTAAAGCTATACATCTGGCCTGAGGATTGGCATGAGAGTAAATACCCTCTCATGTCTGGCAAATACACAGAATGGCCAGAGAATTAAAAACCCCTGTTCAGCAGGGTGTTTAACCAACTTTGTCCCTCATAACAGATGTTGCTTATCATGGTATTGTCTCTACAAGGGTTTTTCTAGAATTAAGTGCCCAGTGCTGATGGGTGGTTTCCTTCTATGGTGCTGTGCACACATTCATCCAAATGGGATGGGAGGAACATTTTTGGGAAAAGAGAGATAGTGGCGAGGGGGGAGCTGGCAGTTGGGAGAGTGAAGCTAGGGAGGAGGATGGACAGGAGGGATCCCCAGAGGGAACATCAAGGACCATGGAGGTTAAGGAGAAATCAGTTAGAGGAAAGGGGTGGTTGGGGTGGAGTGCAAGTGTGAGGGAGGTCCACGGTGGACACCATGGGGAAGAGATAACTCATTATCAGCAATTGGTTAGTTACCGCTTGAATGTTGAGTGACTTTGCCTGCAAGTCATCTTAGTACGAACATAGGAATCAAATCATGAGTGAGCTAAAGTAAAAGGAGGTTGACAAGTAGGATTCAAGCCAAGGAGTCCATATTTTCTTTTAATTGCGGAATGGTATCATTTTTTCAGGGCTGTAAGCTTTTCACAAGTCATCACCTGGAACACATGGGATGGAGAGGGATCTCCAAGCTCAACCCAACACCCGTTTAGCAGCTTTATGGATGTCTGCTACCAGTTTAAATTGGGTACGTGTGCAAACATCAGTTTGTTTCTCTCCATAAGGAGAGATATGGAAGGATCCTTACAGAGTGGAGCCCCTACTACTGTGTAGTGAAGCTGATAGGTTCTAGACTCAGGTCTATTAGCTTTTGGACAATCCCTTCCATTGGGCATCCTCAGAAACAATGAGAAAGGTAGTCCAGGACAGAAGGAGAGATTTGCAAAGGAACCAGGTGCCACCATAAAAGAACTTTGTAGTTTACCTCTACTACAAGTACATTTGATGAACTCTCAGCGGCAGCTGACCAGATTTTACTCTAATCCTCCACCTCTTCCCAGGTTATGCTTTTTTTTTAAACAGCTTCCAAGTTCTGAAAAGTATCTGTTGACCCTGACAGGAACTCAGTCTGTCTAACTTTCTGTAGTGGGCTGACTGTCACTGCAGCACTTAAATTTCAAGCAGTGTTATCAGTTCTCCTCTGCTGGACATTTCCCATCTGCAGAACTCCTTGCTTACATCCTCAGCACTCACTCCTGTACCAGATGCCTTCTGTTTCTTCCCCTCTGCTGTTATATCAGTGGCAATGTTGTCAGCCTAATACAGGAATTTAGGATCTGACCGCATTTCTGGCAGCATCATCAGGTATTATTCAGTATTTTCATCATTTTTAAAAAGACAAAACATGTGGAAATGTGCACGTATTGAAGTGCTGTGCTGAATAGATTTTGAATACTCATACACTTTAAATGAATACAAGTAAGAAATTCCAACAGATAAACCGGAGGAGAGCAAAGCTGGGAAAACACATTGGGATATTAAGACTTACAATGGCAGCAGCCTGTCCGATACCCTGTGCTGCTGCTGACAGCACAATGACTTTTCCATCTAAGCGCCCCATCACACCTGAAAGAAAGTAGAACATTTCGATTCTGGAAGCTACACAACAAAACTTATTTCACTTCTAGAAAAATGTTACCTAGGGTGAAGAAAAAAAAAAGACAAGTCCATTGAGTTAAACCATCAAATAAATGAAATGAAAATGTGCCTATAAAGATCCCAAAACTAACAGCTGCTCTGGAGGGAGGCAAAAATCAAGTATGTTTGGATGTGATACAGCAGGGAAAATATGGATCCTAATCCTGCAAGGCAAGCGGATATTCCCTGGATCAGCAATCTCTGGTGTTACTACTGGTAAATATTAATGGCCAGTTATATTCACACGCTCAGCCTTTTTATGAATCGCTTGAGGATTTTGAATGCAAGATATACGTCATAAAAAACAAACGCTTTTAGGATGCATCTCTTGCGTACAGCTTTTGAACCCCCCTGCGCCGCTATTACTAGCTTTTAAAATGCAGCTGCTGCTTTGTAAAATGACACTTGCACATAGTCTGCAATTGTCAATAATTGAGTAACTACAATGTAGATCAAAGGTGTCCTTTCATCTGCATATGACATAACTTTAAGAAACATTGCAAGTTAAAGAGGACCTTTACTCCCCCACATTATGGCTAAAAGCTCCCGGGGCCCATTTTTTATTTAATTTAGGAATGACTGCTCATAATTTTGCACTACAAAAATAAGGGTACTTGCTACACCCTATACAACAGTACAACTCCTACTGCAGAGATTTCCATACTTCCATTTCAAGCGTCAATCTGAGAGAGAGGAAGTGAGGGCAACAAAAACTGGAAAGACCTGAACAGGCCGGTGCCCACTGTTACAAGAACACCCCTGGTGACACTATATCAACAGAATTTGTTTTTAGCATTTGGAAATCATCTAATTGTTGTGACTCAAAGTTGAACTCTAGCCTTACTTTCAGTCTTGTACAGCTGAACCGACTCCTCTCCGGTACTGAAATTGCTTACTCTGATTACACTGCACACTTTGATCTTCTCACAGTGTATTCAAAGCGCAACAAGTCAGATAATTCAAGCTTCATTTCCAGGCTGGAGAACAGCCAGCAGCATCTATCTCTCCCTTTCCTCCCCAGCTTTACTGTCCCTGGCCCGCCCCTTTCAGTCACTGGATTTCAGTTCTTTCAATCATTGAGGCTCAGCATAAAGGTGGCCATACACTGTACAGCCCTCGCAAGACCTTTGTCTTGCGAGGATTGTAAAGTAATTAAAAAACGTACGATCTGCCATCTTGGACAGGCAGATCGTAATTGCGATCATCACAAATGACTGCAATGCTGAACGGGCAGTGTGCGCGTGCGAACACCGGCCCGTTGTCGAACAAGCACGCCACTAACCCGCCGAGAATCGTAGTTTTCCAGCCTGCTTGTTCGACGGAAGACCTGCGATCGTACAGTAGAAACGGTCGCACGCCTTCCATACACTTTGCGATTATCGTACGATCGTGGGATTTCCTGCTATTATCGTACGATAATCGTGCAGTGTATGGGCACCTTCACATGTAGACTTTATCTAGGGAAAAAGATCGGATTAAGAGACATCAGTTTATGTAAAACCAACCTTCCTGGCGGTAATCCCGAGTCTAGCTCGGGGTTAATTTTCAGTACCAACAGCGGTAACCCCGAGCCACACTCGGGATTACACTGTGCGTCGCTTACCTTGTCCACGAGCCCCGCTGTGTCCTCCGGCTGATGCCGGCATCCGTCTTCCGTCCCTTGCGAGTGCTCGCATCGCACAGGGGCGGAACAGGCGGGAGATTTAAAAGTAAAAAATAGGAAAAAAAAAAAACTGAGATAAATCAGACCGCCAGGGACGTTAACAAGTAACAAAAATTTATCTTATTTGTGAATCACTCGGCTGTAGATCCTCAAATCATCTCTGAATTGGTGCTGACACTGTCCTTCCTTTTGGAGGGTGACTACTTTTGTTCCCCATGGTCCCTGTGTGCGTTGTAGTCACCGCTCCAAGCTCGCTCCTGTGATGGTCTCACATTCAGTTTACTCATTTGTATTGAGATTGTAGTCCATCACGGGAGTGAGCTTGGAGCAGTGACTACATTACAACACACAGGGACCATGGGGAACAAATGTAGCCACCCTCCAGAAGGAAGGACAGTGTCAGCATGAATTCAGAGATGATTTGAGGATCTACAGCCGAGTGATACACAAATAACATACAGTTTTGTTACCATTTAAGATACTTGAATGTATTTTTAAGATTTAACTCCTGAGTTTAGTGTCACTTTAAGATTTTAGTCTGGTCAGCAGTTGATGAGATAATACACAGCATATCCCAATGTCAGCACACAGCTGAGGGGAATTTATCAAAACTGGAGCAGACAAAATCTGGAGCAGTTGCCCATCGCAACCAATCAGCTTCACTCTTCAGTTTGTTCAGTTAAGGTTTGAAAATTAGACATAGAAGCTGATTGGGCAACTGCTCCAGATTCCCCTCTGTGACTTTAAATCAGGATCCTCCAATTAACTCTTGGATATCAAATGATTGCTGCAGTCAGGCTTAATTTTCAGCACTTGTCCAATACAGCCTTTGCTATAGCTAGAGTTTAGACTGATCAGACAGCATGTCTTCCATATGCTTTTATGTGAAGTGCCGGGAGAAGTGAGCACACATACCTCTCTCTGCCCGATATGATCTGTAGCTCCGATCTTTGGACGGACACCAGTCACGTGTCGTAGAGGAAGTGCAGTCGCGTGCTTAGGCAGGCAATGTTGGGTCATGGAGCTTGCTGCCCCCTGGTGTTTAAAGTCGGTCATTGTACATTGTTATTTTACTCATTGCATTTCAATGTGCTTTGATGGCGAGGCAGGTTACCAGTACAGTGCAATGTAACCGTATCAAAACACTAACAACACGTCACTAGATACGAATGGCCTTTGACTCTGTGCACTTCCCAGTATGCAGAAATAAACCCAGAAAATACTCCGTGTGAAACAGGACCAGCAAAAGTTTATTACCATTGATGTTAGGGTTGCCACCAGTCCAGGATTCACCCGGACAGTTCGAGTTTTGAATTGTCTGTTCGGGTTTCATGGCAGCAGAAACCCGGACACAAGATGTCAGGCAGACAGGGGCAACCAAAATCAAGATAGGGGCTACTGGCCCCCCACTAAAAATAGTCTCACCTGTAATATTTGCGCTATTTAGATATGAATAAGCCACAACTAATTTTCCCCAAAAATTGTCTGCGCGTCTCTAGAGTGTTCGGGTTTCGCTTGAAGAAAAGGTGGCAACCCTAAGTGATGTGCAGGGGCAATTTTGCCTGAGTTCGCCCAAGCTCCCACAAAACTGTCACTGACACCCCGCCCAATCAGCTGCAGCCAGGGCATTCCCCGCTCCACAGCTACACATCGCATAGAGGTGGGGCATGCCACCGACACAATGGATTGGCAGCGATCCCAACCTGAAATAAGTCATTTCAGGGAGGTGCCCTCTGTCAACTCCCCCCCCCCCCCCAAAAAAAAAAAAAAAATGATGGCAGATAGCAAAGAAGCTAATGCTTCCTTTGCTATCTGCTGTTTTTTTTTAGTGTTCTGACAGCTGCTGTCATCAGGACAAAAAAAAAAACCCGGCATAGGAATGAATAGCTAGATTGCTATTGGCTATTTCAATTTGCAATGGCCAATAGCAAGCTGGCTATTGCACCTGCCCTCTGCTGCTGTCAGTCAGCAGAGGTGGACCTGATAGAGAACTTCAGGTCCACCTCTGCTGATTGACAGCAGCATTGGGCGGGTGCAATAGCTAGTCTGCTAAAAGTCCCATGTGGAGCAGCAGGGAGATGCTTTCTCAAAACTGTATGGCTTGAAATAGCGTAGAGCAAGCATGGCATTCTACCCAGTGAATTATGTCAGCGCTTAGTCCCACAGCATTAACCCCTTTCATGGCAAACTGCCCAGCACCAAATGGCAATGCAAGCGGTTCTGGACAGCTAACTTATCTGGAACGGAAGAGTGCACCACATGGAACTCAGTGCCCAAAAGTCACTTCCAGGCTAGCCCTGCAACTTTCAGTCCTGCGGGGTCCAGATGCAGTACAGTACTATGCATAGCCTGAGGACAACCTCACTGGATAGCTGCCAATCGGGAGGGGAACCCCTGTCAGCAAAGAGGGCCATACACAAGTATACCCTGTGCTACCTTACAGTTTTTTTGTTTGCCAGTGTCCAATCTGCCTGTAGGCAACAGTATAACCCAAAGGTTTACAGTGTATTTCCACTTTTGCAGTCAAATTTGAGAAAACCCTACTATGTGTCTGCTATTTGTTCCTATTCCCACAACAAAGCTAAAAATGATTTTTGAAAAAATAGGTCTTTCCTTCTGGATGCCTCTGTTGAGCAGGCTGTGGACAGACTGCAAGCTTGTCTGTACAATTTCAGTGGCCGGAAACTCTGGCTGTCCATATAGAAAGGCTAGGGACACTCTGACTTTTCTCCAAATATACAATGCGTCTAAATCAGGGGTCTCAGAATAACGGCCTGTGAACCGTTTACTTTTGGTCCGCAGGCAGGGCCGCCAATAGGAGGGCAGAGCTGGCCCTCCTGTACCAGGCCCCATCAGGTCAGCAGGAGGGCCTGGTGACAGAGCGGAAGCTCTTATCTTTTGCAACAGCTGGGGCATAGCTAGTGTTGCCACCTGTCTGGGATTCACGCCAGCTGAAACCCGGACACAAAGATGTCACAATGTCAAGCGGACAGTGGCAACCATTGAGTCCTGTTGTTCTAACTTAGCACATGGAGAAGGCACAGGACATGGAGGGACTCTGGAAGCAAGGTGGTGTCTGAAACAGAGGGTACAGATAAAGTCTCCAAGGTCACAGGGATTGTTCTTCAGGCAGATGTGTTGCTCGATTTCTCTCCTCGCTCTCTCCCCTGGCTGTCTCTCCATGCGGCTCCCATGGAAGAAGAAAACGTGCCCAGTGGCCCCCAGGTCATTTGAGTTTAAGAGCCGTTGTAGATCTTCAATCCTTTGTTAGGACAGACAGTGTTCAAATCTACAACTGATGTGATCTGTGAGAACAGCAGACTGGGTTAAGGTTGGTAACCTACACAGGCCCCTTGCATTCCATTTGGAAATTCAGTTTAGGGAAAACTAATTAACATGAGAAAACAAATATGTAAGCAGCAGTTTTTAATATAGCAATGTTAAGTGAATGAGAACATAGTCAAGGCCAAAAATATTGGCACCCCTGCACTTCTGTCAGATAACGCATCACTTTGCGCAGAAAATGGTTGCCATTACAAATGTTTAGGCATTCTCATGTTTCTTTTCTTTTGTTTGTATTGGTGTGACACAAAAAAGTGGAGGAAAAAAAAAGCTAAATCTGACACATTCCACGCAAAACTCCAAATAAGGACTAGACAAAATTATTGGCACCCTCAATTATTTGGCAGCACAGCCCTTGGAAAAAAAACTGAAATCAATGGCTTCCTGTAACCATCAATGAGTTTCTTACACCTCACTACAGGAATTTTGGACCACTCTTCTTTCGCCAACTGCTCCAGGTCTCTCAGATTGGAAGGGTTCCTTTTCCCAACTGCTGTTTTGAGATCTCTCCACAGGTGCTCTATGGGATTTAGATCTGGACTCATTGGTAGCCAGTCCAGTACTCTCCAGCACTTTGTCTGAAACCACTTCTGGGTGCTTCTTGACATGTGCTTTGGGTCATTGTTCTGCTGTAAGACCCATGACCTCTGACTGAGACCCAACTTTCTGACACTGGACCCTACATTGCACCCCGGAATTCTTTAGTAGTCTTCAGATTTCATAATGCCATGCACACAGTCAAGACATCCAGTGCCTGAAGCAGTAAAGCAACCCCAAAACATCAGTGAACCTTCACTGTGTTTGACTGTATTTCTCTCCCGTTCATTGAAGGACACAGGGAACAGATCGAAGATCATGTACTGTAGGGTAATATCAGTCCCTGAAAAAAGGATTTTGGCTTCCTCAGGTAAGTTTTGGCAAACTCCAAATCTGGCTTTATGTTCTGTGCCAGCAATGAGTCCTCCTGGGTCTCCTACCATAGAGTCCCCTTTCATTCAGATGGAGACGTATAGTGCAAGCTGACACAGTTGTACCCTATGCCTGAAGGTCAGCTTGAATTTGTCTGGAAGTTGATGGAGGGTCTTTAGCCACCATTCGAACAATCCTTTGTTGCAATCTTTGATCAATTGTTCTCTTTCATCCACGTCCAGTGAGATTAGCTACAGTGCCATGGGTTGTAAACTTCTTGACAATGTTGCGCACAATGAACACAGGAAAATTAAGATCTCTGGAGATGGACTTGTAACCTTAAGATTGTCCATGCGTTTCCACAAAAGCTTGGAATGCAATTATTTCTTGCAATTTGGAGAAGGTGCCAATCATTTTGGCCAGTCCATATTTGGAGATTTGCGTGCAATGTGTCAGATTTGGCTTTTTTTTTTTTCATACCAATTGGTGTCATACCAATACAAACAAAAGAAATTAATGAAAATGCCGAAACATTTGTAATTGCAACAATTTTTTGTGTGAAGTGGTGCATTATCTGACAGAAATGCAGGGGTGCCAATATTTGTGGCCATGGCTATTACAAATTTAAAATGTGTTCTCCCAATTTGGCTGCAAAAGTGAAAATACACTCCAAGACTTCCTGTGTCCCTCAATTGATGAAAGGAGAAGGCTATTTCTTTTTAATTAAGCTTTTAAGATATTTTGGATGGCTCATATGATAATCTGTCTCTGGAATATTAAACTTTATCCATTTTTTTTTGTTAGAAATTTCTTTGTGAACAAAAAAATAAGTGTATTTAAACCCAAAAACATAAAATGTAATATGACAGCTCAGTGGTCCTTAGACGTGCATACTTCCTGTGCACAGGCGACAATGGTGGGGGAGCAGTGTTGTCAGCCTAGGACATGAAATGTTCTGGGAATAGAGAAAAAATCCCCTCTCCATGATATAGGAGGGAGGTATTCTGTTGTCCACAGAAATAAAATATATCAACTCAGAAGATTTCTGACAAGAACAGGTATTTTTTTGTACTTCTCAGACAGCTAATGCTGCCATTTAAGGTTACCATTTGTTGGGGGGGAGAGAGTGGGGGAGAAGCAATATATCCCATTTTTACCAATGCCATACCAGTAATACATCCACCATCCTAGCTGCCATGGTGACAAACCCTATATGAAAGAATACAAGTCGAACCAAAAATATGCGAAAGATTTCCTCATGGCAGAACCAAGCACAGTGCCTACCATCCCCAACTTCCTTCACAGAATTAGGTTTACGGTTACATTTTAAGTACTCTAATTAGTAGCTCAGAATAACAGATCCAAAGCAAAAACAAACAAAAATGGCAAAAATATTGCTTTTTATTAAGAAAGGGATAAGTACAGCAAAACAGAAAAAGGAACAAACAAACATGAAAATACATTTAAGGAATGTGACATGGTAATTAAAGAAACGCAAATAAAAGTCAAAACATTTTTTAATGTATTAATCTATTCCCAATCCCGACTTAAGTGTCCAGCATTAAAATATTACGATGATAACTTATTTATAAAAAACACTAAAGTGTCTAGAATTTCAAGAGGCACGCTAGTGACAATTCCTGTGCAGTTAACACTGTAGTGATTGCTGTGCTAGTTTCATTCGCAGTAACAGATGTGCAAAGTCATTTAAGATGTTTTACAATCATTGGCATTCTTGTTTTTGTCGGCTCGATCCCACCAGTTATCTTCATTTGTTGCAGTAGTACTTCCACTGTAGATATCTGCATCTAGAAAACAGAGGTAAGAGACAATTTAGCCCTGTGGCAGCCTTATGCAATAATCAGGATGATGCTTAACCCCCACAATCCACTGAAAAATCATTTAGTAAACTTAGAATTAAGGAGGATTTGATCGAAAGTCCATATACTGTCCTACCCAGGATCCTGGGTAAACCAGTTTGATTTCACCACCACTATGGGAGGCTTGGAATAGCATAGCAAAAACTACAAATCCTCTCTCCTAAACCATTACAGAAGGATCTTGCCCGCAGCTTCAAGATTTTTTTAAAGGCATATTGCTATTGCTGCGGATTTCACCTCCAGCCACACTAGTGAGAATTGGAACTGTAGAGTAATAATTAAATTGCTTAACATGAGCCAGACTGCCTGGATTGGCCAGATTCCAGTCTTCCAAGAAATACAAACTGCATAACAAAGAGCAGAGTTCTTTACCAGGGATCTCCAAGACACCGATCCCTCCATTTTATTATGTCAGATATATGGGACTCTCGCTTCCAGAGATCCTTAATATTGTCATTATAATTAGGTGCACCGAAATGACAATTTCAAAACCAAAAAGGTTTATTTTACATTTTTTAAAAAATATTTTGTTTAAAATTCTTTTATTAAATATTTTTACTTTACTTTTAGTGGCTTTGGCCTTTAAAAAAAGAAAGATTGAGGACACAAAGTATCTCTTTTTCTGCAGCCCCAATTATAAATGAGCAGGAATCCTCTATACTGAGTGTTTCTGTTCATTGATAACATGAGGACATGGTGTGTTTACTATATCCACAATCATGAATGAACAGGAGGTGATGTAGATCACTTCCCATTCCTTCATAATTGGAGGAAATTGGAGGCTATAGTAACCATACCATGTCCATTATGTACAAACACTCAGCGATCACTGTGTGTTTGTACCCGCTCTGCTTCCTGACAGCTCTCACAGGACGCTGAGCGAGTGGGAGGAGAGCTCAGTCTGCTGTGACAGCACTGGCTGTCTCCGCCCCCACACTGCTCTCCTCTGATCTTTGACAGGAGGCTGAGCAGTGTGGGAGGAGACACGCCGGCCGCTCACAGCGCTCAGCCGGGAGGAGAGAAAGAATGGATGCACAGATGTATCGGCCAGAAAACGGCACTTTCTGCATTATGCCAAAAGTGCCATTTTCGGCCGATATGTTTCGGCGGCTGATATATTGGTGCATCCCTAATTATAATTTATATGCTTGTGCAGTTTGGTGCCACACCATAAAATGACCTAAAAATAGGATGGAATCAGTCCGTTTAAAGAGACTGTCGCCAGACCATTCATTTCAAGAAAGGTCTGCCCATAAGATTATATATGCATTTAACATGTATACATGGTTTTTACTCATAGAAGCTTCCTAGTGTAGACATCCAAAGTCCTCGAGATTGCTGAATGGGATTACAAATTTATGGAAAGAAGAAACACCGCAAGCAAGCATTTTAATGACTTGGTTCTTCTGCGCCTTCAACTACAATTTAAGTTGGTGACAGGGTCTCTTTAAAAGCCTGACATACAAGTTGACTGAAATAGAGGAGTCAGCACAAGTAATCCTAGACAAGTTAGTATGTTAGAATGTCTCAATAGACAATAGAACTCCAGCTACTACAGAGCACACGCCTACAAATTGCTGCAGCTGATGTTATAGAACGCAGGCTGTGGCATTATTGAATGAAACATTGCTGTAGGAAAATCATTGGTTCCAATAGGTTTCTTTTTTTTTTTACATATACTAACTCATTACATTTATAGGTATAATACAACTTGTAATATAGATGTGAGGCATTTCTTTAATAAGAAGCCAATATGAGCACAGAACTTCCTTAGAAAGCTAGAACATGGACACAACAGACAGTGCTTCAAAAGTGACTATTTATGAAAGACACCAAAGCGTGCAGCAAAGTGTATAAGATCTTTATGCCAAGACCAGACTGCCTGATGTTCTATAAACATTCTGTACAATGTACTACTATCCCGGTTTAAATACATAACAGTCTGAGACTGGGAGAGGCCAACACTACAGCACATCTACTGTATAGCAGTCTGTTCCAAATGGGAATAAAACAACAGTAGCCCGCCCCCCTTATACAATACAGGTCTCAGACATAGTCCACTTTTTTGCTGTTTAAAAAAAAAGCCATGCATGTGCCAGGCCATAGAAAATGGTGACTGTGCTTATATTCTACTCATATTTTTCACTTTGGTCGGGGGAGTAAGGGTTAAAGGAGAACTATGTCTGGAGCCGCCCAGCTGCGTGATTGACAGCTGGCTCTGCCTATCTAGAGGCAGAGCCAGCTGTAGCCACCCCCTCCCCCGTCCGCCAGTCAGGGCTGGCGGATCGGAGCGGGGAGAGGGGAATCCAGCCCCTCCCCTGTCACGGCAGAGAGCCATGACAGGATCGAGAAGTGAGCGAACGCCGGTATGTGTTCGCTCACCTCCCGATCTACTGAGCCGACCTGTGACAGTCTCATTGTCATAGGTCGGCTAGAACTATGAGGTGAGTGAAAAGCACTCACCTCATAGTTCTCCTTTAAGTTATAGGGTTAAGTAACTGTGATCCCTCTTTAAAAGAAGAAATAGTACATCTATAGGAGGCCTTGTCTATTGAACAAGCAGTTCTAATGTATTGCCACCAGAACCATTTCAGGTACTGCTGGCACCTTCAGATTTGATGCCGTGGTGTAGGATGGTTTGAAGGCAAATTCTCACACAACTATAATATACTAACACAATAGGAAATGTAGAATACATGGCCTGTTTTTGACACACAAGGTAACATTGATGTTCAGAAAATACCCTCTGCTACGGCTATTCTGACTCTGATCGTTTTGATAGCGAAATATATCCCTTGCTGAGACCTCTATGCCTGGCCTGTATAAGCAGATATACTCACTGCGGACAATCCTCGTCAGATAGCTGAACTCGTCAATACCGATTCATTCAAAAAAGGTGTTTATTCTTCTACATCAGGTTACAGCAGATGATAGGAACAGCAGTTGAACGGTTATAGTATTGTGCGGTCAGAAAATGATGCCTTTCCTACGTACTGTGCAGATTATATGTGTGTCCTGTTACATGTGGCTTGCTAGCTTTGGCCATGACACAGGAAGTACTGCACACAGGAAGAAGGAAGGGGCGTACACTAGGGGGAAATACATCGTCACATGAGGAATAATTACAGAAAACATGTTTGTTACAACAAAAGGCCACTAGATGGCAACATAGGATAACACATGGATTTAGCTATGAGAAAATAGTTAGGCAAAACACACTATGTAAAACTTCTATCTATATTAACTTCTATAACATATTCTATGCCCCATTGGGGCAGCACAACGGCAACTATTTGACTTGTCTAAATTCTGAAAACCGGTCTCCAAATCCTTGATTGCAGATTTCTTGGTTGTAAAACATGTCTTGCAGCTGTAAGGGGCGCACACTTCTAAGGACTTTACGCATTATAGCTAAAAACTCTGAGCACAAAACCTTTCATGCGATTACTAAATAGACAAAAAGGATATAAATCCAATTTGTTTGCACCAAATGCCTTTGCAAACCCAGATACCCAGAGTTCTGCACATAGGCTTAGTAAGGAGCAGAGCTATGGGAGGTGTCAAACAGGCTCCACCCACTACAGGCTGCCGGCAGAAAACTACAGGAGGTGGGCGGATACAAGACCAGTCACCCTGCATGAGGAGAGAGAGCAGCAAATGACTGGCTTTTAGAACAGGAAGCTCCTGCACAGAGGTAAAGTGTCCCAATGGATTATTCCACAGAGCACACCGAGATTCATGTAAGAGCACACCGAGATTCATGTAAGAGCACACATGGATCGCCTATTTAGCCAATATTCACTTATCTCAGAGTTAGATTTAAAGGATTGTCAGGTCTTGGCAAAAAGAACATGGTGACAATATACCAACACAGTTACCTGCTTCTGTGCAACGGTTAATATCGGAACAGTTAGTAGCTGAAGAGTTAATATCTGAAGGAAGAGGACCTGTCAATGAAACATCAGCATGTATTTACATGTTATTCCTGGAAAATCCTCAAACAAGGAAAAAACTGCTAGTAGTTAACTCTTTAGTGAAACGCTTTGCGTGCAGATGATGCAGCCTAATAAAAAGGCAACAACCAACACACCAAGCATAACCCAACCACAAATCACAGCATTCTCAGATTTGTATATAGAACATAGAGAAGACACACACACACCTTTTTTGTAAATACCATCATTCTCGAATATCCCTATTAGACACACACATGTACATATAAATATATTGCCTTTACATTAGTCTTGCAAATCTTTTGACCTTTTCAGTCAGAATGAATGTTGATACATATTCCCTCAGCATGTTATAACCATCATAGGTAGTACTCAAACTCATTACAGTGATATTAGTAAAAAAGGTGGGTTTTTTGTAAGCCATTTCAAATGCTGATTAAATCACTTACAATGTTTGCTGCCCCTTGATGTTTAAAAAAAAGTTTTTTTTCCTGCAAAATCAACTGGTCTCAAGAACACTGGCCCTGGTATCCCCATTTAGGGTAGCTCCTTTCCCTTGCAAGGGTCCAGTGGAGCCACCCTTGTGTGTGTCCTAGTAAGCTGTGTGTCCACATACACGGCAAAGCAATCCAAGCCACTCCTCCTCTTCCCCGCTGCTGGGAAATGCTCTGTCCCTTGCAATCTTGTTTGTAACAGGACGTTCAGGGCAGCAGAGCGGAGAGAGTTGCACTACTGGTTTAGAAACATGATGAATGTAAATTCTAGAGCAGAAATGTCAAGACATTTTGCTGTGCAATGTATATTTGTTTGATCTAAATTCATTATAGTAAAAAGGTTTGAGAATTTTGTCAAGATGTTTTTTTCTTCAATCAAGACATCATCTACATACTGCTGAACTGGGTTCTCAATGCAGCTATCTGGATTGTCTACTCAGCTCTGATCAAGGCAAGTCACATTTATAATGGAACAGCCTGTAGCTTCTACTAGTACTGTTGCCAGTCTGGGACTCATGCAAAGGCCTGAAACTATCCAACCTTTCTTAAGCTGGCCAGACACCTATAGATTATCTGCAGATCTTATATGGTCAGATGGAAAAAGTACAACAGATTTCTCCATCTACACTAAACTGTGTGTATGGAGGAATCTCCCACTGGGCCAAGCTTCAGTATCTTGCTAGTCGGCTGCGCTGGCTCTCAAAGTACCTGAACAATAGAAAATCTGCAGATAATCTATAGGTGTATGGCCAGCTTAATACACCCCTTACTTCAACCTGTTGTATATGGAGACTAGACTACTTCCACACGTGTTTCGGACCAATACCTATTTGATGAGGGATTTTCTTAATAAGCGAGCCGTTCACTGTGGGTGATATCTCGCCTCAACAGAACACTGACTGTACCTACTAAAGATGGTCCATTGTCTAAGGACACCACTGATTTGAAAATGGCTTTCCGAATATTTTTTTTAATGGCAGTCCCTGTAGGGTTCGTGCTGTAGGGGTCTACCTCTTAACCAATTTAAATCAAAAGCCTGACACTGCCATTCCTAATGGTCCCGGTAGAAGAAAACCAGCTGCTCTGCACCATTTCTCAGTGGCTCAGACAAATTATTGTTCAAGCCTATGGTCTTTCCCTGTCAATGTGCCCTCTAAGTGTGTGAGTGCCTCTTGGGCTTATAGGCATCTTCTCCCAGATTTGCAAGGCTGCCACCTTGTCTCCTGTTCATACTTTCTTGAAGTTTTGCAAGGTGATGTTCAGGTTTCATCTAATATGATGATCATACTGAATGCAGCTAACGATTATTTTCATAAGGGATTAGTTGGCCGATTATTTTTTTCAATTAAATCGGGTAAAAATAAAACAAAGCAGCGTTACAAAGTTTAGTTCAGAATAAAACAGTACGCACATTTTTTAAAATCTGCACTGGAACGCAGGGCATTGCAGTACCGCACATTCCAATGCGGGTGATCACACTGCGGACAGGAAGTGCATTTGGGATCCATTGGAATGAATGGCACCGCAACGCACCTCCTACAGCAAAATAATTTCGCTTTTTTCTTTTTTTTAACGATTTCTTTTACTTCATTGCTGGGAGCAATAGCTTGCCTGCTATTGGATATTTCAAATTGCAATAGCCAATAGCAGGCTGGCTATTGCACCCACCAACTAACACCACCAGCAGGGAGAAGAATGGAGGAGCAGAGCGGCAGCAACTAATCAAAAAGAAACTAATTGATGAGAATCGTTGCCAACGATTCTCATTATCGATTATAATCTATTTTTTTCAGCTCCACTGCCTGCCGTCCCCCCTTCCCCCTATCAGTGTTGGCTATTACTCTGAAAAGCATACAATAGCAGCAGTGAAGTTAAAATGAATTCATAAAGACATATATATAAGCTTACAAAACAATGGTATAAATTAGCACCCCAAAAGTTTACAGCATAGCTAAGAAAAAGGGCTTTAAAGCAGGGGGAATACCAAGGCTATGTGAAGGATATTCCAAACAAGGTCTTTCTCTACAACATAGCGCCTCTCAGTAAATGCTGGGAAAAACCCACAGACCTAACATGAAGCATTGCGGTAGAGCGTATAAACATGTACAGCCCAAATTTCTGAACATCTGAATAAGAAAATAGTACAGTGGACCATACTACTACATTTCAGGATGATAAAAATAGCCATCATTACCTTGTAAAGTGCCAAGTGTGGAGTTGTCAAAAAACTTGGTTGGACAATAAGGCAGAGATTTGGACCGCTCAAAGAATTTATCCGAGTTTGGAGGCTCTGGTGAACTTTGCTTTTTGCATGGTGATTCTGTCAAGTTGCTGAACAGTCCTTCAGTTTTAAATGGTGACAAAGCACGCTTTCTAGTCAGCACAGTCTTTCCAGGAGATGAGGCAGGAACACTGTTCCTTAATGTCTTGTTTGGAGACATCACTTGAGGTTTGGGTAAGTGTGTCTTGCTCGGCGACATCACTTGAGGTCTGGGCAAATGTGTCTTGCTTGGGGACGCTGCATGTTTCCTGTGTATTCCAGTCTTCCCTGGCGAATGTATATGTCTAAGCGGAATGTCAGATTTGCGTGGTGAGACAGCGACTTGTCTGTACATCTCACTGCTGCATTGTGATGAGTCTGTTAGTGAACTAAACAAGTTGGAAGGTGTTTCTATACTCCTATCTTTAATTTTTTTAGGTTCATCTTCTCGACTGGATGCATTTCTTTAACAAGACAAAAAGAAAAAAAAAACGGCATTAACAGCTGTAAGAATTACCACATATACCCAATAGCCCTTAAAGTGGCATTAAAGGCTACCCCCCTCACCCCAATGGTGCTGTAAGCACTCACCTTATTTGATGCCTCTTGCTGCAATCATCTCCTTCCTTCCACTCATTTGACAGTCCCCTCAGCACTGGTGCCTGTCTTTGATCCAGCGCAAACTCCTAGTGTCCCACACAGTCTGTCCGGCTGCGTCCACTTTCAATGTCTCTTTTCTCCCCTACCCTTCTGTGTTATCTACTGCACTTGCACCTACTCACTTTCTCCTTCACAACCGTTCCGGAGCTGGGAGTTCTTCAGCCGTAAGCAAGCGGCGCTGGACCAGATAAGTCATTAGGTATTTGGCTACTCTATTTAAAAAAAAATCATGGGGCATATATCTACTGCTTGCTAGCAGTAGATATATGCCAACAAGAGATACACTTTAATTCTACTTTAAGCCTTAAAAAGGGAAAGCATATGGAGTTTTGCCCAATGTTACTTATTTGGAGTCTACAAGTTTAAAAAGTGATTATGTGCGTGTGTGTGTGTGAGAGATAAATATATAATTATATACATCTCTCTCTCTCAGTAGGTATAAGAATGAAGCTGTAAAACTTTATTTTTATGAGGCCTCTTTCCTGTCACCAGATAAAGTGACACTAAACTCCAGAGTTAAATCCTAAAAATGCATTCAAATACCATAACTAGTGACAAAAAATTATCTTATTTGTGTATCCCTCAGCTGTAGATCCTCAAATCATCTCTGAATTGGTGCTGACACTATCCTTTCTTAGAAACAAAGAACGAAAAAGGGCGCCTCCACAGCTTGGATTGTACTTACAAAAAGTCGGTGGAATAAAAGCATATAGAGATCGATGGGAACTCGAAACCTCTAGCAGAGGAAATCTGAAAAGATGTAATATATCAGCGTCCTCTGCCCCTGTATGTTCAAAAGGTTTACGCGTTTCTGGGGCACACCTTCGTCAGGACCTGGGTTCTGATGAAGGGGCATGCCCCAGAAATGCGTGAACCTAGGTTCTGATGAAGGGGTGTGCCCAGAAACGCGTAAAACTTTTGAACATACAGGAGCAGAGGACGCTGACATATTACATCTTTTCAGATTTCCTCTGCTAGAGGTTTCGAGTTCCCATCGATCTCTATATGCTTTTATTTCACCGACTTTTTGTAAGTACAATCCAAGCTGTGTGTTGCATCATTAAATTTCGTTTTTACACTATGGAGGCGCCCTTTTTCGTTCTTTGTTTCTCAGATTGGCGGTCTATTTGACCTGTGGGAGCTGCCTCTACAGTGTATCCATCATTATTAGAGCTGGCCATTTTGCAGTTGGAGGCGCCGGTATTGATTTTTGTTACTGCCCTTTCTTCTTCTGGAGAGCGGCTACTTTTGTTCACCATGGTCCGTGTGTGTGGTGTTGCCACCACATCAAGCTCACTCCCATGATAGATTATACATTTCAATACAAATTAGTAAAACAAATATGATATTGTAGTCAATCACGGGGTTGAGCTTGGAACGGTGGCTACTTTACAACACACATAGGGATCATGGGGAACAAAAGTAGCCCCCACCTAGAAGGAGGGACAGTGTCAGCACCAATTCAGAGATGATTTGAGGATCTACAGCTGAAGGATGTACAAATAGGGTACATTTTTGTTAATAGTTGAGGTACTTAAATGCATTTTTAGGATTTAACGCCTGTGGTTAGTGTCACTTTAAATAATTTCACAATTTTTTTTTATCGTACCATTACTTAAAAAAGTTAAACTGTGACATGACAGGGCATTAGTCATGGTAGTTTGCAGTGAAGGACTTGTATCACAAATATATAGATAACAGCGTCTGACTGGCAACTTTTGGCTCAGGGGGCAAGTACAACCCAGAGGTCCATCCTACAGAGACTTGCCCCCACCTCCAGTCTTGCTTCCACTTCCCCTGCCTCCTCCCACCCTGCTGCTTTCGTCATTTACGTAACTGTATTGTGAACGGTCGGGTGAGGTGAGGACTCACTAGGAAGTCCAAGAAAGGGGTTGGCTGGCCAGGGGATGGTGCTCTCCTCCCACTGTGCTCCCCACACAGTTCCAGCCTTACTCTGCTCCATGTTTGGTACTTAGACACTCTCGCCCACGGTAGGCTACCGCTGGCTGTCCTGACTTCTGGCTGTGGGAGGAGCCGCACAATATCAAAGCTGGTGTTCAATAATTTTTGCCGACCCCATAAAATATTTTGGCTGCGTCACTTCTGGTGCGGCCATATCACCCGAATCAGTGGATTTCCTGACGCCTTTTTATCATGCTCACCTAGAAGTGACACGGATGAAAAATTTCACAGGGTCGAGAAAAATTATAGAAGACCGATAGCAGAGGGATCCCTCGTCATTGATGTGCACAAGACCGCTGCAACCCTGGTCATTAGGCTACCGACTCCAAGCTATAGAGGGACTATAAAATCCTAGAAATACATTAGGAGGTCAGCGCTAAGTAAGTCAGGGGTCGGCGGTGCAGAGATGTTGCATGCAGGTAATGAGGTGAAGCCCCCAGAAGCCTTGTGGTGTCTTCCCTTCTCTGCAGGACCTGCTCTCCTGAAACATCCAGCTAGCCACTGGTGGCTCTGCAGTCTCCCTCCTAGCCTATTGCAGCTTATGTGGGCGGAGGAAAATGCAGGTGGCCAAGATCGGAACTGAGTGATCGCCGCTGTGGCAGGGGCTTTTTTTTAAAGGGAGAATCAGAGGCCCAGAGGGCAATTGGCACCCTGCCTCTGATAGATACGGAGTGAATGTGAGGAAGGTTTCATTTGTAATACAGGGTAATATAAAAAAAAAACCAAAAACAAAACTACTGAACACCATTCATAAGGATTACATCCAGTTAAGGGTAATCGATTCACTTTTACCTTGATAGCTGATGGCACCTTTTCTTGCATTGGGTAATTTCCCTTTTCAAAGCAGCATTTTCTGATTGAAGCATAAGCATTGCTGTACTCTGCACAATGCCACTACCACCACCACAGGTCACGGGATATGATGTGGAGCCATCCTTCTCTGAACAAACTGTTGAAAGAATGAACAGTAACATATATACATTGTTTCACCAGCACAAAAGGTTCACCCCAAAAACCCTAAATACCCTTACGTACTGGTAGTATCTGTATCTTTTTGTGATCGTCGAAGTTGTTCTTTCAGCTTCCTTAAAGATTCCTCCTTATAGTCAATACAAGACCTTAAGGAAGCTATTCTGTATCAAGAAATGTAATATTGTTACAACACACACACATATATATATACATATATACATACACACACACACACACATCTCTATATCCATCTATCTGTAGGCCAGGATAACCCCTCTTCTACCTACCGAGCATGCCTCAGATTGTAACAAGTAGTGCAAAGAGCCAGATCATAGACCGACGGGTTGAGAATAGAGGATTTTATATTGAGTTAACAAAATAAATACATCCAATTGTCTTTCTCATCCATTAAGTGACACACAGTCTATAACCTTCAATATGTCCAACTGAGGGGTGGACATCAGTAAACAAAAATTACAAAACTATCTGATCTTTAGAGGCAGACACAAGTCAGCTCAAAAACCAAACCCTCAATAGCAGCAGAGTAGGGGGCCAAGGTTGATCTGAAAAGAGATCATAGAAGAGGAAGTGCCTCAGAAATGATGGTCCCTCAACACCCGAGACTCCTGCAAAGGTAGAGAGATGGGCACTGGCTAACGGTCTCAAGCATGAGGTTAAACATGCTGCAGCCTCCTATACCGAAGAAACATGCTACCTAATGTCACCTACAGGTGATGGACAGTTTCCTGAGCCAATACCTCGCTGGATCTTATAGTCCAATGGTCTATCAGGGGAATGCCATCTGCTAGGGCCCATGGGGACTGCTCTCTTTACTGGAAGTCACCCGAGTTTCCCACAAGGGTGCCACAAGAAAGTACTAGGGTAGACACTAGGGCTGAAACAACTAAATTTATAAAGTAGATCATAACCGATAATGAAAACCATTGTCAACGATCATCATCGATTGGTTGGACGGTCGATTAGTTGGTCTTGCAGCACCTCACACTCTCCCCTGCTGACAAACACGCCCACACCATTGCGGACTCCCCAAATGTTCTTTGCTGTCAGACACGCCCACACCACTGCTGGAAGCGCCGTTGATGTGTCGAAAGTGCGAACTTATCGAGTTGTGGGAACAAGTGTTCCGAGAAGATATAACCAATAGTGTTAAACCCCGTGTCCAACACCACCACCACAAGCCAATATGATGAGAGAATATATATTGCCCAATGAAAGAATAAAAAAATAAAAAAAAAGTCAGGAGGTTTCAACCGCTCCTTCACAGCCGCTGGCTGACACGTTAGATCTTCACAGAACATTGTGCAGGAAATATTATTTATCACATTGTGCGTTTGCTGTGATCAGTTTTTCTTATTTTCACATTATTGTTGGTGATTGGATTTACAGATTTTTGTTTAGTAGTGTAGCACGGCACTTGTATTTAAGTTTTGGTTTGAGATAACACAAGGTGTAGTGCTCACATTAAACAGACAATTAACAAAATAGTTAAATGATTGCGTTGGAGGGTCCCGAGTCTATTGCGTTATTGCATTGTTTTAAATCTGTTAATCTGAGAATGATTCAATATTTTGTTCCCTAGCTGGTTATTTAGATTTACCGCTGCATATAGATATTGTCAGAAGGCAAGTTTTTTTTCTGCTTTTTAAAAATTGTATAGATTTGTTATGCAGAGATTTTACGTTTTGTTGTTCTGCGGTTTGTTTGTAATACTTGGTTTGTTCCTGAAATTTAGTTTTTATCCAATTATTCGGAAAAAAAAAAAAATCGGCCAACGAATCGATTATGAAAATAATCATTAGTTGCAGCCCTAGTAGACACTGTATCTAACAGTGAGAAGGACTGAGAAGGCATACAGGGAAGACACTGAGGATTTACAGCACTACTAGGTTGGAGAACAACCTGTGAGGATCACAGGGAGCCTCTGGAGAAGGATTATAGGTGCCAGGTACCACTAGTGGCTCTACATGCCCCAAGGGATTAAAATTGTTCTGAGGAAGAGGGAGGTGGCCAGGGTGGGACACCCTCAACCACTCCTGAGGCCAAGCTGACACAGAAGAGTAAGAACCCCTGGGTTGAAGAGACTGCCCTGCAATCCTAATGGGGCACTCTCTGCACCCAGATATCAGAAGAGCACGCTACCCAAGGGCTTGAAAGCATTAGCAACAGTTCCTGCCACTTGATAAAAGTGGGGGTGTATCTTCATGCTAAAGACTTCTGAGGGATTTGCAATGCTCTGCCTTCCAAGCTTGTGGGCTGAAGAGCCAGGTTTAGTCGGTCTGTCTCTCCAATGTATGAGTCTGCAGTGACAGGGCAAGTGCTGAGGTAATGCCAGTGGCTGAAGACTTGGAAAGTGCTACAAAACAGACCTGTTATCAGAACAGGGTGAGGAAAGTACCCAATACACCACCCAGTGTCCAGAGGTCCCTTCTAGGCTATCCTCACAACGTCCAATAGGATGGTACAGGTAGGGCACTCTAAAGCTAGGCTGAGGAAAGGCTGATCCAGACAGTTGCTATTGACCAGCTCAAGCGGCGATGTAGCAAGGAATCTTGACTGAAGAAAAAAAAATCAAAGTAGTATCAAGAAAGAAGCTAGCAAAAAAGAGTTAGATTTTGACTAGTAGACCTGAAGAAAAGACATCCTACCTCTTAGAGCACTGGCAAAAAAACAACGGCATGCTGAGTAGAGGAGAGGTTATACTGGACTGGCCTACAGAAATGTTGTTTGCCAGGTTCAAACCATCCTATAGTATAATCTGACAGTGCATGACTTCCATTATAGCTTAAAAGACATGTAAAAAACATGTATGCATTTATTATATCATGATTATTACCGATAGCAAAGATCTGTGATACATGCACAACTAAAATCAACTGGGATCAATTAACTGCAACAGTAACAAAAACTGGTACAACACTTACTGCTGGTCTGTAGATTTTGACAACTTTATTCTGTCCATTTCAAACTTCACCAGTTGACTTTTAAGATGGTCTATTTCATCTCGGTATGGTGCTCCACCTTGGGTCACCTTTTCCTTAAACAGGTAAAAAAAAAAAAGAGCCTTCATTTTTCTGTGGAAGTTGGGCTTCAAGATGTTTAGCCATGGCCTCTACAACATTAACCAAGCCTTATCTAGAGCACATATGCAATAAGGTTTAATTTGCATTAAAAAGAATAAGTATATCTATGGACCATGAAAGATCGGCAGTATACACAGTATATTGCCAAAAGTATTGGGACACTCCTCTAAATCATTGGATTCAGGTGTGCCAATCACCCCCATGGCCACAGGTGTATAAAATCAAGCACCGAGGCATGCAGACGCTTCTACAAACATTTGCAAAAGAATGGGTCGCTCTCAGGAGCTCAGTGAATTTACGCGTGGTACCTTGATAGGTTGTCACCTGTGCAATAAGTCCATCCGTGACATTTCCTTGCTACTAAATATTCCACGGTCAACTGTTATAGGCAGGCCTCCCAATACTTTTAGCAATATAGTGTATATCCTCATAGTTTTAACGTGAATCAAGAACAAAATAAACAATAGTTTGCTTTTTAGGGACCCTGTCACCTTCCCATGCATGTGAAGATTTAGCAGCCATGTAAATATACTTAGAGTAAAATAGTTGTAGCGCCCTTTATAAACTATATTGAGGATGCAGGTGTATGACACATCTTATCTCCTTGAACACCAAGCAAAATATCTGCATTCCAATCTGTTGCCTCTGTATTGCCTCAGGCACTGACGTCACTCATACCCCTGGCAGCTGTAGTCTTTGCTGATCATATAAGGCTGGTGTTGGAAGTATAATTGACATCAGGGCTAAGGAAGGGGCATCAAGTTGGGAGACAGCTTCCGGAAACCATTGGCAGAGATGAGGAGTGTCGGCACTGTTTGCAGCACCTCAACTATAGTAAATATAGGGAGCCACAGTTATTCTACTGCAGGTAGATTTATATGACCACTTAAATCTTAACATACATAAGGGTCTATTTATGACTTTACATTACCTGGATAGACCAATTTAACAGCAAAACTCAAGGAAAAAAATTATACAAAACACATTTCCTCAATGGGCACGTAGTGAGGCGGGACGGAGAAGTAATTGGAGCATTTCAATTCTTAGTGGCATCCCTCACTACCTGCAGTGCCCAAAAGACTGGCATTATGTGTAGGAGCTGGCATGCAGCAAGTTAAGATTGTTACACTTTGCAGTAGCCAGCCACGGTTAAAAACATTTTTTTAATGAGAATTTTTTAAAAAAAAGGTAATTACTAGACTTTTTTTGGCTGGTGAATATGTAAAAACAAAAACAGAGGTTAATGTTAATCTCATCAATATCATTATGGTTTAAAAATCTTGCTCCACCATACAACTTGTATAGCTATATGTAGATAGCATGGCTGCATTGGGGAAGTCACATTACACAATGACTGTACATTACTGCTCCTTCTCAAAGTTCAAGTATCTAGGTCAGCTGTCTTTCTAAAAGCAAAGCATATCTGTAGAAAATAAGTCAAGGCAACTGGACTTGCTGTATTTTTCTTGAAGACGTTTCACTGGACATCCATCGAGTTTTTTCAATTCGGAATGACTTGTACAAAAAAATTATCTGGGAATAAATATGGTTCAAAGAAGATATAAGCTATGCAGCACTTCCTGCGTAGCTTATATCTTATTTGAACAGTCTCTGCAAATGAGGCAAAGGCTTGATCTATGGGCTGCTGTTGTGCTCTGAAGGTGATTAGCACTAAATCGTTTTAAATTTCAGTTCCACTTCAAATCATTCACTCATGGGAGCTAAAACAGCTTAGAAACAAACACAAAAGTAAAGACTAAGGCTAGAACATACTTACTTGGAGAGCCTTCATTTCTTTTAGGGCCGTCTCTAGAAGTTTCTCTTTTTCAGAAACCTTAGCTCGCATTTCAGAAAGCTCAGTTTCCCTGCTACTTGACAAAAGCTTCTCTTGTAAAAGTGCTGCCTTCTCCCCCTTTTGTTTGGCATCTGCATTGGCTGAAGTGACCTCATTTTCTAGCTGCTGGATTCTGCACTGCATTTTCTACACAAATAAGAATAGCACTTGTTAAACAAAACAGAACTGCTAACTTTGCAAAAGTTGGGGCATACAACAGCTAGGATTCAATCTTATGGCTCAAAGCAGGCACATCCTGGGATTTGGCGACTTCTGGAGGGGGATGGCTTAAAGAGATGGATAGAAGGTGTAAGCAGGTACTTTTTGGCATCTCAACTGATCACAGCTTTTTTGTTAACTTTCAACACAAGGTTACATTACATTTTCAGCAAAAGAAGAATTCAAATCAATAGTATTCCCTAATTCAGCACATCTAAACACATTGGGGTGTATTTGCAGAGCTGTTCTTTATGCGAAAATGTGACTTTTAGAAGAGCACCGCATTATAGCTGCTAGATGGAAATTCCTATGTGCCTCGGCTCCATAATGTGGTACAAAACTAAGGCGGCAGATTTCCACAGAACAGTCAGCTCTGCTAACATTTTCTAAATAACCCCCAAAGTATTAACCCTTTCGCTGCCAAGCCCTCCGGAACATTTTTCAAATCAGCTGGCCAAGCCATTTTTGAACCTTTACCCCCCTTTTACTAAAAAAATCACAGCAGCATGCAGCTCTGCATGCTGACTTAAAATCATCTTACATTATTTAAACTTTTTTCATTTACTTACAAATAGCATTCATCTACTTCCTGGTCCAGTTTTGGCACAAAAGATGTACGTGTCAAAGCGTTGCATCTTGGGAAGGTTACATCAGCAGAGCATTGCTGGGAAATCTCATCTGTAATCTCACAAGATCTAGGGGAAAGGAAATTTCCTCCCCTAAAATGATGTGCATGGTCATATATGTCTTAGTCACATGTCCTAGTCACACGTGCCATATTTTCGGGAAGTAAAGGGAGAGCTAGTAATCTGCCCTTAGTTAACATGGCCACTGCCAGAAGACTGGGGAAGAAAAGAGAAGGTATGCAAAGAATACAAAGCCTGCAATTATCCACAAGTATGTGTTTGTAGATTGTCATTACTAAACATTTCTAAATGTGTATTTGTTGTTATTTTAAAAAGATATAGGTAAAGGTCCGCTTTAAGGCAATGCATAATATAAATGGGCCCTAAAGATAATTGATCATCAAGGTAAAGACTAAAAAGGGAAACTCGGTCTGTAGTAGCACTCTACAGATCACAGGCATTTGAAGATACTGTATAATGGAGATAGGTCAAGCAATTAACTGGCAGTTGAGGTGCTTCTCTGGGGTAAATCCTCTCCTGGAAGAGAAAATTTGATTTGCCTCAGAGAATCACCTCATTCTGCCAGTTTCTCTTGCAGGAGAGGATTTGCAATATGTTTTGTGTGTTTTTGTTGACCCTGTAATCATGGGCACATATATGACACTTATGCAAAGATCAGACATTTTCACTCAAACACATTCAAGGGGCAAAGGAATGCTTAATATTGGCTGTGATCTATGGTAAATATGTGATAGTTTGACACTGCATTGCTGTGCAGATAAATTGATCACTATCCCTTGACTTTCATGGCAGACCGGAGACCAGCACCAGCGCTGGAGGGACTCCTGAAAATAGCTGGAAAGAAGATCGGATCAAGAGACATAATTTAAGGCAAGTCCTTACACTAGCATTGGGTCTGGGGAATTTTGACTTTGTCACTTTAAACTCGTCCATGGTCAAAATTAACAGAAAGCAGGAAATTCAAAAAAGTGTCCAGTGGTGCAAACAGTGAGGCAGCTTCCGGAACTCCACCCGATTGGCCTATTCAGGCAGTTAAGACTTCAGAGACAGGGCAAGAGCAGTGAAGGCCAATCACAGCTCCATATCTCCACCTACCACATCGTACAAAAGCACTGTGCCACGGCGCTTTTCCTTCCCTATGCTGTTGCAGAGGAACTCGATGATGGAATTGTCAGTACAGTTTAACAGGCTGACAGCAGAGTTACAAAAACAGAGGCACTACATGGCTGCCACTGTATACTGACCCTGTGCCATATTGGATCATAAACAATAGCAAAGTTTTAGCTGGATTCACACCCATTTGCTATTGTTTACATAACAAAAATATTAGTCTGGCCAATGTACAGTAAGGCCTCATTCACACGACTAACAGCCGGCCCGTACAGATCCATGCTGCGTGCACGGCCGTATCGAGGCGCTTCGGGGGAGGACAGGTGCTGTGTGTGATTTGTACGCAGCAGCCTGTTCTTCTCTGTGGGAGTACGCCGCCATACGCTCACCTGAACTGCACGTCCGTGCGGGTGCAAGTGTCCGTACTCGTACGCAGACAGGATGGATCCTGCCTGCGTCCGAGCAGGGACACCCGCACGGATGTGCAGTTGGGGTGCGCGTACGCCGGCGTACTCCGACAGAGAACAGGCTGCTCTGTACAAATCACACACACCACCTGTCCTCCCCAAGAGCGGCCCGATACGGCCGTGCACGCAGCATGCATCTGTACAGGCCGGCTGTTAGTCATATGATTGAGGACTTATGCACGTTACGTGCATTGGTGTACTGGAAAAAAACATACAAATGTAGGAAAAACAAAAATATATTTCTGTCCCAAACAGAATTACCTTTAATTCTGCCTGCAGATTTTTCAATTTCTCACAGAGTTGTGCATTTTCCTCCTCTAGAATGTTGGAATCTCCAGATGGAGCAAATTGTTGCATTCTTTGCAGGAGCTCTTTGTTCTTCTGTTTTTTCTCCTGTAAATTTTCATCGAGCTTGTTTAGATATGCCACTGTGTCCGGCTTTATTCGTGACTGGACGATTACCTTTAATATATAACAAAATATTGCAGATCATATGCTCACACCATGCTACTGTCTGAAACTAAAGAGCAGAACAATTAAAGTATTGGATAAACGTAGAGGGAAGCCTGTAGAGTGTATATGCATTTGCTTCTGTATAAATCGATCTACATACGCATACTGCATTAAATGTTAGTTCTAGATAAGGAACTGGCTGGGAACAGAGGTTTGACCCCAAAATCATACTCCTAACAAAGAATAGCTCATTTACCTTTAAACCCCTTGCTAAAAGCTGGACAACACCAGAAATCCTCTTATTTTCTTGAATTATACCCTCACTGCATTTCTTGGCATCAAAGTGTAAGCCTTCCAACTCTTCCAACCACGACAAGAACTGCTTCTTGCATTTCACCTCTTCTTTAAGGTCTCCTTCCACACTATTCAGAGTGACCTGTACTTCTGAGAACCCATCTTCCACACACTGTATATAAAAAAAAAAAAAAAAAAAAAAAAAAAAA